GAGGATGAATGGGAAACCGGTAAGGATTTGCAGTTACGCTGCAATAACAAATTACAGGATATTATGCTGAAAATTGCCGGAGAGACTGAGGAAAACAACGAAAATTATTAGGTGTGGTAGCTGATAACTAGGTCGAAATTATAATAAGGTACTTCCTAAACACGAAGGAGAAAAAGAAGATTACTTACAAGTATCCTTCTATGAAAGAGCCGCGCCATAGCTCAAGCGGTTAGTCGCTGGCTTCCCACCGCGGCGGCCCGGATTCGATCCCGGGTCTGTTCAAGTGGGATTTGTGGTGGACAAAGTGGCGCTGAGGTAGGTTTTCTCCTAGTACTTCGGTTTCCCCTGCTAATCTTCATTCCACCAAATTCTCCATCATCATAATCACCCGGGGCAGGTACAATATGCCAATCAGTGGCCGCCATGCCGAATGGACCCAACTGGACTCCACCCCCCACTAACCGAATCCTTCTGTGAGTCAAGTTTGCAGCAAATTAAAAGTGTTGCGTATAGCCGAGCTCAGGTATGGAAAGGAATATCTCCTCTCTTATATGACTGTAACGGCCGTGAGATCTGCTGGTAATGATGTGGGTGAGTCGCTGAAAAAGCCTTTCACACTCGACTGTGACTCTTCTTGACCGGATTATTTATTTTACAAAAGAGCTCTGCACACTTGTCTGAGTGCTGTACAAAGATGACGTGAAAATCTGATACTGTGATGAGAACAGCACCGGCTTCAGTACAATTTTGTAACTCGATAAATGTCACAAATGGATAATATTTCAATGCTTCCGGCCTGTAGACGTCACTTCGCTCCATGTACGTGCACTTTATATACCTTTGTTTTGTCCCTATTACCATTCCTGCATTATGAAATGCGGGCAATACGCAGTACCGAAAGTCGTAAGCAAAGGTGCATGTACAGAAGCAGATACCGCTTTGAGGTACCGAATGTCCCGACACTGTTCCCCGAAATTTCCAGATCGGTCCGGGCATTTCTGGCCTGAGTATCCCGCTGTGGTAGCAGTCCGTTTCAGCATTTTGCAGCCAGGTACGCGCGGTTTGCGGGACTGCCTCGTCGTTCTCATAATGCTGGTCCCTCATGTGATCTAAGGGCCCGAACAGGTAGCAATCCGGGCTGCAGGGATGATGGGGGAGCACTTTCCAGCCCTCCGCTCCCCCAATATCAGCTGGTACAGTGTGGGAGCGTACTTTTGACGTGTTGACGGATGATTTACGCTTGTCAGAAACTGCATATCGCAGTTTCTGAAACATCTGTGTTTCTGAAGCTTTTGAACACGTAGCAAACTGCATTGACAGTTCCCTTTCTGAGCGGGAAGTCAGCCAGTAATCACCCATCGGCATCCCAGAAAACTGTTCCAGCCGAGGGTATGCTTCTGACCTTCTTCCTTGGAGATGGCAGCGTGATTCAATTTCCATGCTGTGTCGTTTTGTTTCGGGGTCAGAATGGTGGACTAGCTTTCATTACCAGCCATGATGTTCAGTACGAAGTCATCCCCTCGGCATCATGTCATTGAAGCCACTACGATGACACATCGACGCATGAACTTTCGTGCCCGTGTTTGAACAGTCGAGGAACCCAGCGACAACAAATTTCTAGTATGTCTGATTCTTAATCATGTCCTGCATAGCATTGTGTCCCATATCAAGTTGCGCTGTGGTATCCGTAGTCGTCACTATCGGCGTCAACTTTCTGCTTGTTGCTTTCCGTGGTGGCGATTCTTGTTCGACTCCTGAGAGGCAAGTGGGCGGTGTTCATGTTACCATCTTCGAAGTGTTTCTCTGAACGTCAGACACTGCTGAACCCATGCAGTAAATTTTATAAACATTACGAGGTCTAGTAAAGATGTCTGCAGTAAAATCTTTCTCTTTACGAGGAATTCAATCACACACGCTCTCGAAACAATACATCATTTTGTTGTAGTGAATTGTATTGGTGCGAGCGCAGAAGACCTGTATTTCAGATTGCAGAAAACAGATATAGCTGTCGGCCGTATAAACCGTAGTCTCATTATTTCAACACATGTATACACCAGTGCCGCTCACTATTTTCGGCACGACCCTCAAATTTCTTTCTTTTATGGAACGTTCCGGTGAGAGGTCATCACACTGAAGCCTCGCGCATTTGAGGTGTCAGGAACTACGTGCATCTTAGTCGAAATGCTTGAAAGGAAGAGATTAATTAAATGGGAGATCTAGACATACATATGAAGATGGATATTAAGGGATAGCGTATGAGGGTGTGGACTGCATTCATGTGGCTCAAGGTAGAGTTCAGTGACGAGTTCTTGGGACCACGTTAATGAGTCTGATTTTTTAAGTGGTGGAATATTTTTTGACCATATGAGCGATTATCAGCTTCTCTACAGTGACACTGCTTAATGGAGATCTATCAACTCGTGTTTGCATGAACTTTTCCCCATAGCAGTACTGCTTCAAAACAGATGTTATAAACCACGCTTGTTTCTTGACATAATTTCACATTTCTTTGTCCCAAATGCGTGTGGTGACAAGTGCGTGATGGCGTGTGCGTTGCGGGGCTTTAGAGGGACTTTTTATACACACATCATATCACGTGGAAAAGCATTTGCTTTCTTGTTGTTATACTTCAGGGATTATAATGCCTCGCTCCATTAGCGACGTTAAATTGCGTGGAAGAAAGTTTAAGACGGTTTTTCTTTTTATTGTCTCGTTATTGTGCGCAGCCCTGGTAGGACGTTTAGTAGAAATTATGGCAGACTTGCCCGCTTCCTACACGGGTGTCCGGAGAATGAAGAGGCTACATTACTTCTGATCACAAAATAAATTAGGGTAAGCATTATTCAGGATATCATTTAGGGTTTAAATATATTTGTCTCGTAGGTTTCATTTCTCTTTTTGCCCTTCACACAGAATGCAGAAGCAGTAAAGGGGCCTAAGACAGGAGGTCGTTTCCAGATAGGTTTAAGTGCAGAATGAATAGGACTGTTCTTAAAGCCCTGACTGGCATAAAAATTGTGCTGTAATGTTTATACAATTGGGCCTTCTGCAAATAATTAGTTGTGAGTGGAAGTCTTCCCTTGTCCTGTGGTGGGCTGTTGTGTACACGGTAATGAGCCTTCGGATTGATTAAAATGTTGGTAATTTCTTAACCAGCTAAACGTGTTTCGGCTTCTTAAGAAGGATACTACCAACTATAGCTGATTATCTAGTTTAGATTATTATACTAGATATAGATTTAATATCTAGATTATTAATCCTGAACTAGAGCCGTCCGGTTACATTTATTTGAAAGCCATTTTAATATTATTCTCACATCTACTCTTAGGTGTTCCGCCTGCTTTCTATCGTTCACAGTTTCCTACTAAAATATTGAATGACTTTATGGGAGGTCTTTAATGCGTTTTATGTGCCCCGTTCATGGAATTCTAATTAATTTGATTCTAATAACATAATATAGTGTATGGGGTTGCTTATTATGGAGTTTGCCGCGCCATAGCTCAAGCGGTTAGTCGCTGGCTTCCCACCGCGGCGGCCCGGGTTCGATCCCGGATCTGGTCAGGTGGGATTTGTGGTGGACAAAGTGGCGCTGTGGCAGGTTTCCTCCGAGTACCTCGGTTTCCCCTGCCAATCTTCATTCCACCAATTGCTGCACAATCACCCTCACCTATCATCTGGGGCTGGTACAATAGGCCAGAAGTGGCCGCAGTACAAGGGACTTAGTCCCACCCCACTAGCAGTAAAATAATATTATGGAGTTCTCCCCATATTTAGCGTCGAATGAGATGGATGGTTTGCCATGAATGGGTAAAAATTCGCAAGGAGGCGGTTATTACCTATTTGACGTTACTTTCTTGCGTTCGTTTTGGGGGAAATGACGAGGGAACCAGGGAAAACATCGGCCAGGGTAGCTCGTAACGAAACCAGAACATTTCGAATACAAGTCCAGAAATTTGCCGAATTAGCTTGTGGTTGTTCCAAGATGTTTAAAGGGCATTAAAACGTCTGTAGGCCTGCATGCTAAGCTCATTCAGTTTACGCACAAGATTCGAACGATACTTCATAACACTTTTGTCTCATTAGGCAGGTGGCCTAATGTTATCCTGTCATTGCCCTAAATGAACTGACGGGAAGCCCGAAACACCTCAGTCAAGAGAGTCGGTGTCCCGGCCTTTTTTTTTTTTTTTTTTTTTTTTTTTTTTTTTTTTNGGGGGGGGGAGTTCAGCTGGGTCCACACGGCGGCCACTGATGGGCCTATTGTACCTGCCCCGGGTGATTATGATGTTGGAGAATTTGGTGGAATGAAGATTGGCAGGGGAGAAAACCCGCCCCAGCGCCACTTTGTCCACCACAAATTCCACTTGACCAGACCCGGGCTCGAACCCGGGCCGCCGCGGTGGGAAGCCAGCGACTAACCGCTTGAGCTATGGTGCGGCCGTGTCCCGGCCATGATTCGAACCTAGTATCTCCCGAATACAAGTCTAGAGCGTTACTGCTACGACATCCCGTTCGGTTCTATTATCTCAGACCTACGAGTGACGGAGCGGAGTCTGAGGAGAAGAAGGAGAAGGAGATTAGTCCTTGGTAAACGGTAAAGGTAACGTTATCCTTGTAACAGGCCGTGGAGGCCCATAGGATTGTGAGACGTCGAGGCTCCCACATTTTCTAGACAATCGGCTCACAGATTGCAGTGAGATTGTCATCCTTACGCACCGGCCAGGAAGATTTGTGGTACTCATTTCTGTTAGAGGCCGAGTCGGTCCCAGAGTCATAGTGCGGCTGGAAGGATTAGATCAGTTGAAAAATCAAGTGACCTCATCGGAAATCGAAACCGCGGCCTTCCGGCTTTTAGCATAATGCCCCCTTAGTCCCTGGTACTGATATAATATAAAAGTGATGTAATTTCTGTGGGAAGTATCAACGAAAGCCACGTACCATTTTGGGAATCACAGTGATGCAGTTACCTCTTCCCGTTGCTAAGCTCTCCTTTTTTGTTTCAGGTTCTTCAGCACAGTGGATGCCTTCCTAAATGAGTCAGTTGAACACGGTATGTACGGGCTAATGTTGTTATGGATATAAATAAGACGAGGGAGGGAAGGAATTTGATATGAGGCACCCTGGTGTTTAATATTCCTTCCCCTGTCCCTACTAAGCACCCTCGCTCGCGCCTCGATCAGCTCGGAATCCGTATAGAATAACAGCATATTTCTCATTATACGTAGCTTACTAATTCGATTTCAATGTCATAACGCCAACATTGCTTGTTTTAAGGGCTTGTAGAATTACGTGAAATGAGATTACGAAAATGAGCTCAGATGCTTTTAGTAAAGTATGTTTTATGCGTGAAGATGTCTGAAAGATCGATCTACAGGGTTTGAACTTAACATGCCTGAGTTCGGTTTCGATGGATAGGCATACACGTAGTATCTTTATCTGCGGTATCTTAGTGTCACGACGTAAGGTATATTCTACACTTTTAGAGATGAACTGACTGGTAATGCTTCAAGCATAATTCTCCATTTTGTAACACGGCGCTTATTCGTGAGAGTTGTGATGCTTGTGATTTATTTCGACGAATTGCGTTTCCGATTCAGAAGAGAAATGCGTTCAGAAGTTCATATAGTTGAACTGGCCAACTACCGGGGCCAAGTAACAAAATGCTGACACACTCAGCGGTACGTTACATGTTAACAGCAGCCACAACTTGTGCGAAATGTTTTATTAATTAAATTCAATAAACTAATGAAAATTCCCAGGACGGATTCTGTCGGGCAGACCCTTTCTTGAGCAACTAACAGTCATTCCACTAGTCAAGAAACGCCTCGCCTTTCAGAGAACTTGAAGGTTCGTTACCGTATTAACAAAAGCCCACCTTCGGATCCCGTCCTCAGCCGTATAAACGCAGTCAATGACCTCACAATCTGTTCCTTTAACATCCATTCTAATGTAATTCTTCCATCTTTGCGTACCTCTTTCGTGACTTTCCATCATATTTTCCGACGGAAATTTTGTGTATATTTCTTGTCTCTTCCATGCTTGATACATGTCCAGCCCATCTCACCCCCCTTTATTTTTGATTACCCTAACGATTAATTCGCTTAGTGGGGGGTGGAGTCCAACTGGGTCCACTCGGCACGGCGGCCACTGATTGGCCTATTGTAGCCTGCCCCGGGTGATTATGATGATGGAGAATTTGGTGGAATGCAGATTGGCAGGGGAAACCGAAGTACTCGGAGAAAACCCGCCTCCATCGCCACTTTGTCCACCACAAATCCCACTTGATCAGACCCGGGATCGAACCCGGGCCGCCGCGGTGGGAAGCAGCGACAAACCGCTTGAGCTATGGCGCGGCCTTCACCGTAACGATAGTTGTACTGTGTAAATTTTGAAGTTACTCATTATGCACTATTTTCATCAATGTAATTGGCATTTAGACCAAAAAAGTAGTTTGATTTTAAAAAATCAGCAGATTTTCTTCGTAGTCATTAAGTAAACGCTGTGGAACTCGTCTGGGGGTCTTCACTGTTGGCTGAAGAGGCGTAGTTCACTTTCAGGTCGGTACAAATTATTGACCAAGACTATACATCACATATCGGTAACCAATAATTGTTACCGATGTTCACTTTTTAAAATAAGTTGGGTGTGTCAAAAATGCCGCAGCGCCGAACGGACGAGAGCCAGAGACAAGAGATTGCTCAGCGATGGCTCTGAGAAAGCTGGCACCATATCGGGATGAGGTATACGCTCTACAAACTATAATTATTCATACTGAACAGGGTGTTTCAGGATCAGTGTCTTCCTTTTAATTTCAAGTTCATAAAACAAACTCGGTGGTAAGGTACTCGTACTACGTAGTACCACTAGCTGCTCTAGCGCTTCATGAAGAACATTGAGAAAAGGGTAACGCACAACAAGCGCTTAACTGCGCTGCATCTTATAATTCTGAGAGATCACACAGGATGGCCCAAAAGGCTTTTAACTGGTTAGTAAAATGTGCACTTAAATACGGTAGAAGTTCATAAAATTGTACTGTTGCATGCTCTTGCAATGTGTATTCCAATTTTAGCACAGCTACACCCAGCACAAAGGAAAGAAATCAACACACCAGAAAAAAATAGCACACGTGTGCACAGCAGAAATAACCACAGAGTGATTGTCTAAAAAATAAATTAAAATATTTTATATGCATTTTATATTATTCGCAAAATGCAAAATCCAGCGGCGTAACAACAGAGCAACAGTTATCGTCTACAGTCTTATACACCTGATGATGGCCAGTTAGGCCGAAACACGTAGTGTTAAATAAATAGTAAGAAAAAACAAATAACCTTCGAAGTGTGAATTTTAACATATGGACGAAAATACACAAGGACGGTGGAGTAAGAGTGCTAAAATTATAGTAGAAGTTCCTTTACTACTAATTGAATTTACAAAAATTGCTCAAAATGAGATCCTCCATGTTCAGTTGACTGGCAGGTTTAATCTGAACTAGAGAATGTTTCAGGTTAGTGACTTTGGGACCAGTGCTTATATTGCAGGTTCCCATGCCACTATTATCTGTGTAAAACATCTTTGGGAGTACGTCATACCTTGAGCAGGCAGTCTTACAGGAGAAAAGTTCTGTATTCGACGAGATTTCTGACATGACAATTCTGATTCCCATCATAATTTTAAAATAGAATCTAGTGACTTTCAGATGATAGGCCGTGACATAGATAGGCGGTTAGTCGCCGGCTTCCCACCGCGGCTGCCTGGGTTCGAGCCAAGGTCAGGTTATGTGGGATTTGTGGTGGACAAAGTGGCCCTGGGGTAGGTTTCCCGCGTGTACTTCGGTTTCCCCTGCCAATTCCCATACCATCGACTGTTCTACATTCATCATCATCTGTCATCCGGGGCTGGTACAATAGGCCAACTAATGGCCGACGTACCAAGTGGACTCAGTCTGACCCGACCCCAAGAAACATAAAAAAAAACTTCAATTGATGACAACTGTCTGTGTTGTTTGATGATACCGAAACGTCGCAGGCGATTTAGATACAGTGTAGTGATTCTAGCATATATGCATAGCCCTATAGACTATGACTCCATCATAATATTTAACCTTGAAATTACCGAAGAATTCTGCAAGAGCTTTGAAGAATTGAATTGACCCGGACAGATGTTTTGATTCGAAAGTTTTTGAAATTCTTGTGAACCGCAGGGATTGTGTAAGGGGCACGCTGCAACGTAGTTGGCTGAGGCACTATGCTACAACCCGGAAGGTCGCGGGTTCAAGTCCTGATGAGGTCATTGTTTTTTTTTTTCAATTGACCTAATCCTTCCAGGCGCACTGTGGCCCTGGGGTCGACTCAGCCTCTAACAGAAATGAGTATCAGGAATATTCTTTGAATATTCTTGGGGGTAAAGGGCGGCCGGCGCGTAAGGCTGACAACCTTGCCGCCATCTATGAGCCGATTGTCTAGATAATGTGGGAACCTCAACATCTCACAACCGTATGGGCCTCCACGGCCTGTTACAGGGATCCCTTTTCTTTACTTTTATTACTTACCGCAGGGATTGTGTAGCTTCAAATGAGGCAAGAGACTGTATGACCCATGCAGTGTAGTGCTTCAATGTCATGTAGTTCCTTCCACGTCAGATTTGTGTCGACATTAGGACCAATGAAGGATTCTTTTTCTTCCACCTTTCATATTAGGTCCTCTGGGCTGTTCCCATCAGAATTAATCTGCTAATAGGGATCTTAGAGATAGCTGGTAGGACTCTCTGAACCGGTGATCAGCCCTTACGCAAGGTCGCTACCTACACAGGACAACACAGACAGAAGAAACGCGCCAGACATCCATGCCCATAGTAGGATTCGAACCCGCAATTCTAGTATTTGAGCGGGCTTAGACTGCGCGACCACTGTGATCCGCCGGTGAAGGACAGCAGAGATCTCTTTCGGAAACGCAGTATGTTTGAATGTGCATTAGAGAACTTTTATCACGAGCTCTAAGCTTCTGCGAGGAGTAACTACAATTTTAAGGGCTTCGGTATAACCTACGGGAGTTATGTTTCCCAAGCAACGTGTATCTATCTGTATGTGGTGATGGTGGTACCAAACGTACATACTCCTGAGTGCGTTGCCGCTACAGGCGGGCGGCGGCTTCCTGCCCCAGTGCGTGCCGCTGTCAGGGGCTAGCGACCCCACCCAGTCCAAACAAGAAGCCGGCCGGCTAGTCACTCAGATCATTGGTTACAATTAGCCCTCTTGTTCCTCACATATTTCTGGTACCCGTTCGTCTACGTCAAGAATTCTCAGCAGCCACTTTTCAGGCCCCCTGTCTTTTGGCCCTGTTTGTTCCCTCTCATATGAAATTGAAGAGACAGTAGCCTATAGTAAATTCTTCCCGGCCTACAGTACGGACTTAAAATTGTAGCGGAGTAACGCCAGTTTCTCTGATCACTGCGGCCGCGCGGTCTAAGGCATGAACTGTCTTCCCTCGCTCGAACACTGAGATCGTCGGTTCGAATCCTACTCGAGGCATGAATGCCTATGTGTGTTTATTCTGTGTTTGTGTTGTTCTGTGTGTAGGTAGCTGCCTTGTAACCGGCTAATTCCCCGTCCAAGGAGTCCTAGCGATAGTGTATCGCTCGCTCACTCACTCGCTCGTGGAGCTGAGCCTTTCTTGAGAAGCTGCCAACTGTGCAGCTGCTAAAGAACTTCCCAGCATTTTATGGAACCCGAAGTTTCATTACCGTGTTTACAAGAGCCCTCCAGCGGTCCCTATCCTGAACCAGATAAATCCAGCCCATACCATCCCGTCCTGTCTCTCTGAGATCCATTTTAATATTGTCCACCCACCTACACCTTGGTCTTCCAAGTGGTCTCTTTCCTTCTGGCTTTCCCACCAATATCCTATATGCATTTCTTCTCTCCCCCATTCGTGCTACATGCCCTGTCCACCTCGACTTGATCAGTCTAACTATACATGGAGAAGAGTATAAGTTATGAAGCTCCTCATTATGCAGTTTTCTCCAACCTCGTGTCACTTCATCTCTCTTCGG